TGTGCAAGAAGAACAAAGGAGAAAAGTATTCAAAGCTGAGCTGTATATTGCATAACACCCTGTATGAGAAAATCTCAACCTATAAAACGCTTACCTACTTTGGAGTTTAAATAAAGCAGAATGGTGTTCCTTTTTAAAGAACTGCTTTACAGTTATCTTCCTGTCAGAATTCCAATTATTCTATGACTCAGTGGGTATATGTCTAGCTTTTTTTAAATTCTTTTTTCGGGTAAGAATGTGAAGAAGTTTTTATGAGAAGTTTGTAAAGGAAGGGTTTATATAATAATGCTGAGCTTCATCAAATACAAATACACTTTATTTCACTATTTGAAATAGTGTTTCGAAAATAATATTTTCAGAATTGAGCCTTACCTGTAAAAGTGATCAACATTTTCTTTGATGCCTTTGAAAATGTGGTAATTAACTTCGGCTTAGGAATTAACTTATATTTCCGGCAGGGTTGAGGGGATTCAATATTCACTTCTGTTCATCTTTTGGAGTAAGACTTTCATAAAAGAAGAAGAAACAGACTGGAATTTTGTATGCAAGGGATTAATTTTTCCTAAATTTCATAGGAAAATTTCCTTTGATAGAAAGCATAGGCACTTCCTATTTCACCTGCAGCAGAGACCGGCTAGTCGCTTCCGCCTTCTCCCGAGCACTCAACTCCACCATATTTCTCAGCCCCTCGTGCAGCTGAGCGCGGCCTCCAGACTAGCTCTGGCCGATGGAATGTGTACAGCAATGATGCCCTCACCTTCAGGCCTGGCCCAAACTTTCCAATCCACTCCTATCCCTGAATGGTAAAGGATCCGGGCGAGGATGCTGAGGCCACTCACCAATCATAAACACCCACAACAGTGAACTTTGAATAAGTAAGAAATAAACTTTCATCATAGTAAATCACTGAGACTTTAGAGTGTTTTCATTTTGTGTTGTTGTTTAGTAGCCACTAAACACATCACTCATTGTCCTTTCTTCTTTCTTTCTTGGTCTCCTTCTGCTTGCCTCATTTCCTTCCTCTTATTGTCTTTGTGGATCATGTGATTAGGTCTTTCTGATTTAACCACCAAACCAAACTGCTTTTATTGGACTTGGGGCAAAGGCCTCCACAGTGTTGAAATAAAAAGCAGACCCAATTCATTTAATTAGCAGGAAACGTTCAATCAATTCAACTTTTTAAAAAGCTTACATCCTAGGTAATTTTTATTCAACAACTATTTGAGTAAAGGGTCACACTTACCGAGTTTAGAGATCATGTAAGAGTCTCATGGTAACTGTGACAAACGTGATAATTTCAGTGCTGGAGACCCAGCAGATGTGTACACAACCACCACCTTCTGAGGAGGAAAATCAAGGTGCGTGGACTTGAAAACAGACATTAGCCTAAGCCCTCAGGCTTGACTTGCATGTCACCATGGCTTCCAGTAGGCGAACATGGACATTGCACAGGGTCAGGCATCTGTCAGAGCAGGCCAGAAAGAATATTAGCACTGCACATGGCTGGGAGAGGCTTCCAAAAGAATTAGAGTTTCAAAGTGGCTTTTTAAAAAACCCAAAATGAAAATTCCAGTCTGATTTTGTGTCAGCTGCTTTCTTTCAGATTCAATATGGTGGTTTACCTTCTTCCTTCTCTTCCTGCTCCAAGTTGGGGGTTCTCGCGCTGGGCTCAGCGAAGCCCATTCAGAGGCTGTCTCAAGAAGTGGGCTCCAGGCAACCCGCTCTGGATTTGACAAGAAAAGCTTTCTTTTGATCCGTTTTTGCAAACGGGACTTCTGCAGAAGCATTTATTTTGGGGTGTGAGTTGGGAGGTTTCCCTTGCTTTATAGGGTTACAAGCCATAGCTTTATAGGTTCTGCCTGGACATCACACCTGCTCTAAAAGTTTTAGTAACACAAATACCCACTGAGGTCCAAATCTGAGTCTACAGCACACGTCTTTTCTGGGCCCCCCCCACTCATAGTCCCACTCGTATTTCACCACCTCCACTCGCTGGATGCCTCATAGCCACCTCTTCACAATATTCCAGGAATAGAATGCATTATCCTGCCTACCCTTCTTCCTGCACTGATGACATCACCATCCACCTGGTGATTCAGAGAAAACTCTGAATCATCCTGACCCCCTTTCCCTTCCATCCCCAGATCCAATCAGTCATTTAGTCCAGTTCGTAAGCTGTCCTAAGTATCCATTGAATACGTCCTTCCTCTCCATCCTCAGTGCCACCGCTTTAGCCTACACCCTCGTCGCCCTCCTTCAGTCGGGACCATTACAATCACCCCCAGCGGCTCTCCTACCACTCTGTCCCTGGCTGCCTTGCTTTTTCTGAAATACAGTAGAAATCATAAACGTGAATATTTATTTCTAGCTTGGCAGTTAACAAGTTGCTTTCATGTACATTTTCATATTTAAGTATCCTAGCATTCCAGCAAGAAGACACTGTTATTCTTAACTTGGAACAAGAATTTGAAGCCTGAGAAATTATCTTGATCAAGGATCCTCAAAAAGGCAAAAAGCTGTTGTTCAAACCTGAGGACTCTAAAGTTTATGCTGATGACATTAAACCACACTACCGAACACATGTCAGTCCTGGGTTTTAACACCTTCAATTTCTCAGCACTGGCTACAAGAGAAAGACCAGATCTTTTAGCACATTGAGAATGCTCACTATAATTATGTCCCAGGGAGCTTTAGCAGTTAATAGTAATAGTTACAGTCCAGCTCTGGAGTTAGAACCCACATTCTAGTCTAACCTCGTGGATAAGTTATATAATCTCTCTAAACCTCAGTTTCCTAATGTGCACACTGAGGCTAATAATAGAGTTTACCCCACAAAGTTGTTGTGGGGCTTAAACAAGATGGCACATGTGATGTACTTCACACACTGCTTGTCTAACAGAAAGTGCCTGGTGAATGTGCACTGATTTACCAGCCTCATCCCGCAGCATTTTTTTCCCATCTTCCACCCTTCAAGCAGCCCACCTACACTTTCTGTTACCTCCTCTATGAAATCTTGAAGATCCCAGTTGGCGATTTCCCCACCACTTCGTACACACCTCTACAGTTAGATATTCGGTTGGGTTGTACAGCCCTTAAGACCGGCAGTGGATTGTCTCCTGGGAGGGGTTAGTAGGTCTTGGAGAAAGTCCCCACTACAGAATGCTCTTCCCCAAGCTCTCCCAGGTCTCCTGCCCTAGACTCTTGTTCCTTTGCTCTGCCTCTCCCTTAACCCCTGCCACTTCTGATGGCATATGTCCTCCAGGCTTGCCCTTGCCCTAACTTGACAGCCCTGCTGAAGGCATCTGACCTCATCTCCGTGCCAGTGCTGTGTGCCACTTAAGGGCAAGGCTTTGGCAACTCGTCTGTCTCTCCCTGGCATCTGACCTCAGTCTGTCTCCTGTTTCTAGATTTTCTGAAGCTGACAACTCCCAGGGACTGACCAAACACAGTTCAGTTAGGATGATCACAGCACTTACCACACTGTTTTGTGTTGTCTTTCTCATCCATCAGACTGAACTCTTCCAAGACAGAGATGTCTTGTCTTTGATCTCAGTAGATCCTCTGTGGCATCCGGTTCAGAATAAACTCTTTATAATTGCTTGTTGATTGAATAGACTATTGTTCCCCAAACAAATGGCTGTGAGTTTTGGGGGCTCCTGCTGTATAAGTTCTTAAGACCACAGAGGCATTTGATAGTGCACTCAATCTTCTGAAACTCCTCTTATACAACCAGTTTCAAATCAATGAAAAGTACACATAACTACATCATCTGTAGTGTTTTTTTCATACCAAAATATAAAAGTATTTCACCTATAAAATGTTTTTTTCTTATTTTTTGCCATTACTTGTTGACAGCATTCAATAAATTTGACTACATCATCAACAATCTATTTATTTAGCTTCATTCTGTGCATTTTCAAGGTTAACTGTTTGCTTTTTGCTGCATACCCTTATGATTGTATGTAAAGTTCTTGAAAGAAGTCTGTGTAGTTTCTGTTTTTGTCTTTGTTTTTTGGTGGCACCTTGTTGAACAACCTTATACAAAGTGCATACCACAAAATATTGCTTACATTGAAATATACCGCTGTTTTTCAAGTTCTGCTGCTGAAAAATAAGCTCATTTTGTGTTTGACTCAACTATCATGGCTTTCACTGGATACATTTTTCTTTAACCACAGGGCCTAAATTTTGTTTTTGTCTGTAGAACAACAAGATTGCCTAGATGATCACTGTTCCTTTTCACTTCCAGCCATACGTAGTATAGAGTTCTGAAATACACTTAAAAACCCTGGTGTCTCCAGGGGCACCTGGCTGGCTCAGCCGGTTAAGCGTCTGCCTTTGGCTCAGGTCATGATCTCAGTGTCCTGGGACTGAGCCCTGCATCGGGCTCTCTGCTCAGCAGGGAGTCTGCTTGTCCCTCTCCCTCTGCCTGCCTCTCTCTTTCTCTGTGTGTGTGTCAAATAAATAAATAAAACCTTTAAAAAACAAAAACAAAAAAACTCTGGTGTCTCCTTGTCTCAAATGATCTCAGAATTAATAGACAAAAAAACCTAAAAAAATCTATTGATTTACTAAAAAGAAAAATACACTTTGAAATTATTAAAATTTTGGAACATATACCTCAGGGAAATGCATATTAATGCAACAATGAGAAACCACAAATTGCCTACCAAAGATAATTGATTATCCCAACGCTGGGGGCATAATTGGACAGCACTGGTGGAAATGTAATTTTGTATAACCTTCATAGCAAAAGGACAATTTGGCAATATTTATGACCAGACTTAAAAACGCATATTTAAAAAAATTCATTTGAACCAGAAATTATTCTTCTGCTAAGTTCTCCTAAAGAAATAATCAAGGATAGACGCAAAGCTTTAGCTAAATGGTGGTTCTCAGCATTTAGATTGGAAAAGAAACTCATTAAATGTTTGTGGATTTTAGGAAGTGTCATTTCCCAAACAAGTCGCACAGTACTTTAAGGCTACTACTCTGTAAAAATTGTGGACTGGGCACACAACAGGGAAGAAACGTCTAATCACTTCCTTCTGGGGCTCAACTCTTGCAGCTGAATCATTCCGGGATCAAACCAGGCAGGGCGATCTTCCTTTATCCCCTGACCAGCTTCATTACAGGACAAACCAGAGGGGACTGAACATCTCAGAATCGGAGCCAGAGGTATGAGGAACAAGTAGCTGGACGGAGCAGAGGAGCGGAGGAGAGGTAAAAACTAGAAGGGAGAAGAGAGGAGGCCTTAGGAAGCTCTAGGGGTGGGGGCGGCGTGGGATCCGAAACACAAGTTGACGACGGAGGACGAAAGCGGAAAGCGCTCTCTTGCGTCACCTTCTGGTATCCACGTGTATGTGCACCAGATAGACCTTTCCCTCTGCTCATAAACTGCTTGTTTGCTCTTCTAAATGGTTAGGACATAGTTGAGGGTTTACGATAGATAATAACCAAAAGGTCTAACGGTAGGAGATGGATTGAAAAAAATGTTTATAGAAGATTATTGTAGGGGAGGAAAAATAATGTTCCTTCTCCCCTAAGTTCTTAGCTGAGACCCCCATGGTAAAAGACAGATTAACAAGAGAAAAACAGTTTTATTAACATTATACCTCATGTATACATGGTAGATACTCAGGAAAAAAATGAGTCACTTCCCAAGATGGCTTAGAATTCAGGCTTAAAATCAATTTCTGAAGAATATTTAATCACATGGGAATACGCTTATTTTGTGTAGGTTTTTTAAAAGCGAGCTATGCAATGCCCATCCCAATATGGAAAAAAAAAATTGTAAGTATGGTATATATTATCTAAGATGCAAAGGAAAATGTCTGGGCTAATAAGCAAATGCCAAGATAGATTCTGTGGTTATTTCCAGCAATGGAATTACAGGTAGCATTTATTTTATTTTCTTCATACGATCCTGTATCGTCCAAAATTTCTACAATGAATATATTTTATTTTTATGATCCACAGAAAGGTTTAAATATGTAAGAAGTGTGCGTTAGAGACAGAGAACAGTGTCCTAAGGGTCAGAGGTCACCAAGCATCCTAATAATGTGAAAGAGATCTAAGCAGCTATTCGGTGGGAAAAACCCAGATTCAACTCTGAGGCCTGGATGGGACTCAAGGTCCCTTGAGATTTTACTGTTATTTTTCTATTGCAATTTAAATTGTAATTTGCAGAGCAGTAAAGAAAGCTCTTTTTATCTTTTGATAATACAAACATAAATTTCCCTATTGGCAGATAAGTTTCCCCTGTATAGCTCATAGATATGTGCATACTTTGCATGTCTAATCATGTCATTTGCATATAATGTAAACCCATAAGTCATGTTTATAAGAATTCTGAGCCATACTCATTGCATTCAGCCAGCAGGGTGAACACATTACATTCTGTCTCTATTAAACTATGATCATAGAAGCAGTGGAGGAGGCTCTAATCCCAGTTCTCTATTGAGGGGCTTACTAGTGACCTTGGGCCTACCACAGAACTTCTTAGGGCCTCAGTTTTGTGATTCAAACGAGGGAGGTAAGCTACTATTGCTCAGGCCCAGTAAAGTCTAGGATTTGAGGATTTCCTTTTCCCCATGCTAAAACTTGACAACATCCTAAAAACATAATGAAGACTGAACACTCTTTGAATACTAATAATCTTTATTCTACATGCTTTACTGAAAAGGAACAATTGCTATTTTAAAAAGAAATGTCTGAGGCTGCTTATGCATTCTGGAAGTGGAAGAGATAAGGCTGGTCTTTTGTACGAGAAATACCTGCACGGGGCTTTTGGTTTTAAAAGGTGATTTCTGCAAGGCATGTTGCAGAAAGAGCTACTTTGACAGAGAACTGAATTGCTCTGTAGGTAAAAAAGAGAGTTTGTGGGTTTGCCGTGATAAAAGGAGGGGTAGCTATATCAGTAGGAGTGGCTTTAGCCCTTCCCTCTACCTTCCATTAGATCCCCAACCCCCTCCAGGTAACATACAAGCTAAGTCAAGGCAGCGCGCTTCTAAACAAAGGAGACTTTGAAATAATGCCTTTAGTCCTAACTTCCAATCAGATTGTTCTCCCCAAGACTCTTCATCTGTATAAAAGGGTTGAGAATCACGCCTGTTAGGAGAACTATTTGGAAATCCTGAGGACTTCTCAAGAGGAGGATAGAGGAGAGAAGGGTCAGAGCAGAGGGGAAGGCAGGTCCCAGAAGTGTACAGGAGCCAGGGCTGACAGGAAAGACAACGATGGCGAGTCCTCCCCGGGGGGGGGGGGGGGGGGGGCAGTTGGCCGAAGAGCTCCCACAACAGCAAGGCCTGCTGTTCAACCTGAAGTGGTTTTCTCTCCGGGCCATGCTGTTGCCCGTCCTCTGTTATTCCAGACCTTCCGCAGAAGCTTACCGCATGTAATTGTCTAGCGCTACTAGTTCTTTGGGGGACTGAAGGGGTCCTTATAGGGCCAAAAAGGTAAGAGCAAGAACTGTAGCTGCGGGAGGCGAGAAATGGAATTCGGCGGAATCAGTCAGAGTGAGAGGGGACTTAAAGAACATAAGCCACCCCGGCTCCCACACACCCTTGTCCTCTGCTGTGACACGTGAGCACATGCACATGCATGCTCGAGCCCGTGCGTGCACACACACCCGCCCACACACTCACGTACCCCCTACCGGTAAGCTTCAGAAATACTGGAAGGAGACAGGACTTCTCATAATATATGGGTTGGGGGCCGGGAGCCAATCATTTCATCTGAATATTGTAGGACAGGGTATTCTCAGAAGGTTGGAACATTGGTGAATGGCTTTCATTTGAATGTGGGATTCTTTTTTTTTTTTTTTTAAGATTTTATTTATTTATCTTAGCGCCCGCAGGAGCGAGAGCACACCCACGCATGCAGCGGGAAGGAGCAGAGAGGGAGGGAGGGAGAAAGGGAGAGAATCCCAAGCAGATTCCCCACTGGGAGCAAATCCCCACGAGGGGCTCCATCCCAGGACCCCGAGATTATGACCCGAGCTGAAATCACGAGTCGGACACTTAGCAACTGAGCCATCCAGGCGCCCCTTGAATGTGTAATTCTTTTTTTTTTTTTTAAGATTTTATTTTTATGTATTTGACAGAAAGAGCACAAGCAGGGGGGGTGGGAGAGGGAGAAGCAGGCTCTCCGCAGAGCGGGGCTCCATCCCAGGACCCTGGGATCATGACCCGAGCCTAAGGCAGACACTTCACCGACTGAGCCACCCAGGCGTCCCAGAATGTGTAATTCTTTTTTTTTTTTTTTTTTTTTT